CGCAATGATAATACCAACATGGGCCAGTGAAGCAATGTCCTCCACAACTAGACTGAAGAACAAAAGGACAGCAACTTGTCTGTTCCCTTCCCCGATTCCCCAATGCTGTTCTCCTCCCCCAATTCCCCAATAAAATCTTAAAAAACAAAAACAAAAACAAAACCACATCAAAGAAATGACTAGTCAACTTCAAGAGGTTTGTAATTTTTATTGCATCGCCCAAACTTCTGAGAATCTATTGAAGGCTTTCCCCAAATAAACACATATTTGTCTTACACAGTTTTGCATAGTTTCTGGTGGGATTCTTGAGTGCCCTGAAACCCATTCGCTAATCTGCAAGTGTACAACCACAGCACTAAAAGAGACTGAGAATCTCGCGGAAGTTGTCCAAACACCTAAAAAGAGGCCACGTCAGTGGAGGAACAGGGTCTGGGGGGCCTGGACTCCCATCTAAGAGCTGCCTGAGGGGGAGCCCTGGCACCAGGACTTAAGACTGGCTACTTAGGGTTGCTAAATGTCTCCTGGGGGCGAAAATCACCCGATTGAGAGCACTGTGCTGTCTCAAATAATCGTATTTGCTGGCTGTCTTATTATTCCTCTCACTCTTCTAGAATGTAACCCAAAGGCAAGAGCAAGGTTTTGGCTCCTCTGGGGAGGAAGTACATTGCTAGATTTGGGATGGAGCATCTTGTTGGCGCTGTTTCCACTTAACTGAGGTGGGGAAGCTGAGGGAGGAGCAGACGCAGACAGGACAGGGGATCAAGGGTCTGAACGACTGAATATCGGATGGGGAGGGCAGGGAGTGGTTGAATGTCCCTGGAGCTCAGGGTAGAGGTCCAAGGCTGGAGACATTGTAGTCCTGCGTCATCAGTGTGTGGAAGGAATGTGAGGAGCCAGGCCTCAATCTTTCTGGAGTTTTCCACCATTTCTTCATCTTCTCCCAGTTGCACATTTTTTTTCATTTCTTAGCCCAAGTGGCCATTCATTTGGGTCTTAATTTGAATTCATTTGCCATATGGTGAAAATAGTGTTTTAGGAAGGCTTCATTATCTACCAGACACTTCCAGGGGATTCTGCCTGGCCCCTGTGCCAGCCTGTCTAGCTTTGGTCTCATCACCTTCTTGCTACATTTCCCAGATCTGGGTTAGGGTAACAGTAACCTCCGGACTCCTACAGCTAACAGCCTGCTCTAATGGTTAAGCCCCTGGGACTTTGACAGCTGACCCTCCCCTTCCCAAGATTTTAACTCTGTGACAATGGGCACGTTGTTTATCTTTTCCTTGCCTCAGTGTTCTCTATCCAAGGGTGCTTTTGGCACATGCCTCCCAGGGTTGGTGAGAGGCTGAGGGAGGTAATGCAGACTTGTCTGTAGCTAAAGCTCAACACGCTTGCAGTCGGTTGTACCTGACCTTTATAGCTTTGATATACTATTCATCCAGTTTGGGGCATGTTCTTCCCTGGTTACCAGATCAGCGCTCTGCAGGTTCTCCCACTGCCTGCAGTGCCTTTCTGGGCTTCTCCTCTGTCGTTCCCCCCACTTTTAAATGCTGGTGCTCCCCCGGGTCCTGGCATGTCTTTTCTTACTTGATCCAACTTTCAGGACCAACCCTTATTTATCCCAGTTGTATTACTGATAACTTTCAAATCTGTATGGCTACCATTTAATGAACAAAAACATGCATTTTCTTTGACTTACTTATACTGTAGTTCTGACACAAAATGTATAGTTGGCCCTCGTTATCCACATACATGGACTAAGCCAATTGCAGAAAAAATATTTTAGCTGAGCCATCCTGCCACCTGTTGGCAGCTCAACTCAGGCCATGAATCGAACCGGCAACTGTTGCTCGAGCTTGCTCAACTGAACCACTTGGCTGGCCCCAATTGCAGAGAAAATCTTAAAAAACTTTGTAGTTACTGACAGGTATTATGTAGTTAGGTCTGATGGTGTCTGTACTGAACACAGACCTTTGCTGTCATTCCCCAAATACAGTATAACTACTTATATAGCATTTACATTGTATTATCCCCAAACAATATAGTGTAACTACTTGCACAGCACTTACATTGTATTAAGTAGCCTAGAGATGATTTAAAGCCTAAGCGTGTGCATAGTAAGGGACTTGAGCATCCTTGGATTTTGGTGTCCACAGGGACCCTGGAACCAATATCCCAGGATAGAGGGGTAGACTGTATTCTAAAATTTACATGTTAATAGGTGGGTACCCCTTAATTCATCACCATTTGGTGTCTAATGTCAAACATTGAGAAATCTAAGGGTAATCATTACCTGAGAACTTACATCAGAATTGAGGAGGGTAGTGTGCATGGTAGCTATGTAGGTTTCACTCTCCAGGTTTAGAAAATCACATTCACTGCTTTAAAGATAGAATCATTGACCTAACCACAGAAATACAACCATATTACCCTGCTACCCATGCACTGCCACTGCCCTTACTTTTATCCCCAAAGCCAGTGAGCTTGCCCTGGACCAAATAAGCATATTTGAAACATTGGGTATGCATGGGGGCAGGACTATAGATTCTCAAGTAGCCCTTTACATATTTTCATGCTCAGGTATAATCGTACATTTAGATTAAGATGGATGTTTGATGCCAATTGTATCACTCATTCAACAAAATGTTCACCTGAGCACCCCACCACATGCCATAGCAGTTGTACGTACTTAGATGAATAGCTAGACCCACTCAAACACACGAATCACAGCGAAGGTTAAAAACCAAAACTTTTATTTAGAAAGACCGAAATGATTGCATGTTAATTTGAATTTTATGTTAATTTAAATTGTACAAGAAATTACTTGAAAATTCCCATTTGATGTCCCCCAAGGGTTGGATTCCTGTAGAGAAAAAGAAAAGTGAGTTTTTACTGAGTGGGAAGGAATACGTATGCACCATGAGTTTATAAGGGATTACTGTAAGCCAATTTCCACCTCCACATGCTTTTATTAAATTATCATGTCTGTATCAAATACGAAACACCAGTATGTGGGCAGATACCTACCATTATACATGTTTTCTTTCTTTAGACCTGGAAAAATAAGCAAATTTTCAACAAGTGATTTCATCTTCCCTTTCCCATGTTCAGAAATCCTTATGATCCCTCAGACAGTTCCTTCTGGAACAAACTTTCCTCTTCTCCCCCAGCCAGCCCCAGTGGGTTCACCTTTACAGGCTCTGGGACGAGGACAGGAGGTAAGACGTGTGAATGTTTCTTCACTGGGAAATTTTAGCTTGGCCCACACCTGGCATCTAAGTTTACTCACCTGTAACTTCAGACTGGAGCTGAGCAGAAATATGGCTTACACTTTCCCTGCAAAAGAAAATTGGAAACTATGTCTCTCCCGCAGCCCTAGGTGTCCCTGTTGCTTGGGGGAAAGGCACATCTGTATAGGCTCTGTAGGTTTTAACACATTTTATAGGAACCACCAACTAGTCCAAAGAACTTCCGGGTGACTGTAAAGCCTACTCAATTAACTACCCATTGTCACTTTTCACTCCAAGGCAAGCTCACAGCTCAGAAAATACCTGTCAGTCACAGTGATCAGACTGGGGCGGTATTGAACTCATCACTGGTGAGTGGTTCAGGAATGGCCAAGGACAAACTGGATTAAGCCAATGGGTTCATGTCTTTGCACAGGTATCCAGACCAAGGTGCCACGTACAAAAACTGGCCAATCTTATGTAGCAGCCATAGACTGAAAATGTTGCAAAGGGATTTACCTCAAATCATTCTTGGGCTCCAGAGAAGGTGCTGGACCTGAAACAAACAAGACTGAGTCAGCAATGCTTATTTCCTGCATTGTTGTTCCCACCTCAGCCAGTTCCTAGAAAATCAGATTTCTGAGTCTCAACAGCAATTCATCAGCCGAACGAGATTCCATGGAAGTCATCATATATATAGGCCTAAGAGTATTTTTCTACCCAGCATGCTTCAACACATATAAAAAACACTCACCTTTGAGTGGATGAACAGGTTACTGGTAACAGAACCTAGGGAAAGACAAAGCAGTGGGTGACAAAAGTTCCTTACACATGGTATCCCTCCACTGCTGTCTTCTCCAGTTTCTCAGGTGTTCAAATGTTTTCATTGTGTTAAGTCATAGTGAGCTAGTTTGATTCATCATAGAAACCGACTACTTGGTGACATGAAGCAGACATTCATCAACCAACCTTTTAACTCTGGAAGCTTTTCTACAGTACACAGGAACAAGTGCACCTAAATGAGATCATGTAATTAGCAAAGTATCTAAAACAGCCAAAACTATTCTAGCTATGGTTAATGGGTAGGCCGAGTAAATCTAAGCAAATGCTATCTACAGGTATTTGTTGTACCTCAGACAGTTCCTTATGGAACAAGTTCTCATCCTCTCTCCCAGTTAGCCCCAGTGGGTTCACCATTACTGGCTCTGGGGCTAGAACAGGGGTTAAGACAAGATGCTTGCTTTCCTCACTGGCACTGGACTCTGGGGCAAGCTTACAACCAAGTTACAAGTACTTACCACTTCCAACTCTTTCCACAAGTTCAACCCTGGACAGATCAATGGGCATCTAGGAAATGAGAAATTAAGAAACATCACTACAAGTGACAAGAGGAACCAGAAAGCTATATGGGTCAATTAGGGCTCTGGTAACAAAACAAAATATCACAACCACCACCCATGATGATGCTGCCCTTCGGATAATGGGTTCACATGTTAATTTACCATCGTGTTGGGAGAAGCAACTTACCATTAAGATAGATGAATATATCATCATCAGGACAGGCTGCAAATAAGGAGCAAAAGATTACTTTAAAGTATGAGGATGCAATAAAACTTCTTCATTAACAGAAACTGCCATCAGAACTCTAACATGCTATTAACTGCCATACCTCACAGAGCGTCAGCATAACAAGTCAAATCATCTGACAGTGACACGCGGGTGAGGGAAAAACACACCCTCTCAAAAACCAACTGTGCTGCTGGGTTGTTCTCTCTTTCCCCAGGAAAAACCATCCCAAGAGAAACAAGCTGGAAGGAGCAGAAGGCAACACTGCTCCACTGACCATTTGCTCTCCTGGTTGTGGGGAACACTGGAGAGAGAACACACCAATCCCCCATTTGAACAATTACCTGTAGTCACCCTGGGAGACAGATGAATTCCTCAGGATTGGTGATGAGATGCTGCAGACAGAAAAGGGAGGCATTATATGTACCTAACAATAGCCTGCAACCAGAGTATTTGAGTACTCTTGGCCCACTTCTCAGTAGTAAGAAGACATCACTTTGAAGGTCAGTCATATGCTTGTCATTGTATGTTCATCATGGAGTGGCCAACCCAATTTGATGCCCATCTGGACACTGCCCCTACCCATAAACTGCATAAGCCATTGTATACACACCTGGAGCACCACTGTAATGCTTGATTTGCACAGGGAAAGATCCTGTCCCATCTTCCAACCTGTAAGCTCTTTTAAACTGAACCACATCTGAAACAAACGAAGGGCACCCTTTACTTAGTTTTATACCTTGCAGTCTGTCTCATGTTAGTGCCGTAACACCTGCGAGCTAAAAAAAACCCAAACGTTTACTGCAGATGGTGCTACTCAGAATTTTTATATTTTCTCCACTAATCCCTCAGAAAGAGAGAGTTCAATTCTTAAAATCATCCCCGTAGCACATCTCATAGGACTCCCATACACTCAATAATGGAAGAACGATGGTCAAGCATCGCCTTAAGCACTTACTTTAACAGGAGGGCTCTTCCCGGTTCTTTAGCGTTCAAACTTGCGCCTGAACCCTGCAGACAAGAGGACATTAGGTCAGCACTGGGTATTTCGCAAACGCTTTGTTATACGGAGCGACGTCTGCATCGGCTGTGCGAGGCCAGTCTCCTCAGAGTTTCTTATCCTCACGGAATTCAGTACAGGTCTGTGAAAATGTTCTCATCACACAGAGAAGGCCACCAGCACCGCCCGCCATCGCCATTTTGTCCTTCACAAAGCCCTGCAGCAGATTCGAGGCCTGGAGACAATGGCCAAGTTCCCCCCACACCGCCAATTAAATAGGTGCAACACAGACAGCGACCCAAGGTGCGCCATGCTCCAGCAGCTAGTTCTCTGTGAAACACAAAACACACTCACCGAGAGCAGCACAAAAACGAGACCGAAAACGCCCAGCGAAACACTTAAATACCATCTCGCAGAGGCCCATGGGATTTGAGGGCGGGACTGTGGCGGGCGCACGCGCATGAGGAGAGCGCGTGGGAGCCTGGGGAGTTGTGGGTAGAGATTTCCAGAGGCGAGCGCGGAGTGCGCGCCCCCAGGGGCGCGAAAAAGGCGCGCATGCGCCTAAAGGCAGTGCCTGGGCACGCCTTACTGCGCTGAGATCGGGTTTCCAACCCCGGCTGCCTGGGGCCCTGGAGCGTTGAGGGTGTGGGCGGTTTCCTGCCTATCCTGGACTGACGCTCCGCCTGGGTCCCAGCCGCCTGCCCCCCCCAACTCTTCCCTGAACTCCTCTTCCCCACACACACCCTAAACCCGTGTGCAGGGCCTGCTTGTATGGATCCCAAATCTCCTGAACCCTCGACCGGTGTCGTCTCGATTCCAAGCCAGCCGCCCAGCGCGCATTCCGGGCCTGGTGCTCAGTGTCCCAGCGCAGGAGGCGACGCAGGTACTGAGCCCCGGGCTGGGCTGAGCTCAGGTAGAGGTCCCTTGCATGGAGCCATTTCGGGAAGTGAATCAGGCCGTAAGTGCGCCACTTGAGCCTTTAGACAGGGTCTGATTTTTCTTCACTGGCCACAAATGATGTCCTGCTGCCCGATCCGATTTCGCTAGGGCCTTGGCTTGTACCGTAGTAGGGTTAACATTGGGAACACCATTTTAAGTACACTACATGAATTGATGATTAGTCCTCCAAAATGCCGAGAGTACAATAACTACCCCCATTTTATAGATGAGGGACCCCAGGTGTATAAAGAGCTCTTGAGCTACCCGCAGCTCCCCTCCTGATTGTCAGGATGGTTCCAGCCCCTTATAGACTGGTTATTGAGATCAACCATCATCACTTCATCAGTCATTTGTGGTAAATACCTAGTGTATGTACAAGTTTTATAAATACTGGGGGTGCCAAAAAAATGTATAAAAATGCCTTGTATTCACCTTTTGTTATTGGTACATATTATTACAATTTTAACATAGTTTTTTCCTTTCTTAAAATGTGTATGCATTTTTTTTGGCACCCTCTGTATTTACTAATCTGTTTGTGCTCTTCTGAATGACCTCACTTAATCTACAACCCTAGGAGGAAGGTATTAAGGTAATGTTACAGATGAGGAACCTGAGACCTACAGAGGTAACTTGCTTGGTGTTACCCAGCTAAGAAACTTCAGAGCCAAGTTGCAAATCCAGGCAGTCTGATTCTAGAGCCTGTGCTTTTGACCTCTGTGCTTTACTGCTGTCATCACACACTGTTCTCAAGGTAGCTGGGGAGCAAGCAAATACACAAGGAACAAATAGAATGACCCCTGGGTACTGTTTTCAATCTTTTTTTCATTCATGTTTCCCCCTCCCCAGGAGCCGGGAAGAGACATTTCCTTCTCTAATACCCCCCATGAAATTTTAATACCACTGATATACTGTATATCTGCTTAT